CTATTTTTTGCAGTAGAGTAGGAAGTTAATTATCTGCTCAGAATGGATGATCAGGAATGGGGTGAGAAGCCCCAACAGCCACTGAGGAAAATCAAGCAAAGCTCATGAGTAAAGATACTTGCCAGAAGTGAATCCTACCAGTTTCTGCCCTCAAAACTAGTGCCCAGCATGAAGAACTGGAGTTTCAGACTGAACTGGGTTAGGAATACAAAGGAGGATCAACACAGACTTCCTCTAAAGGGAAACTAAAATGAAGATCTGAGGTCAAGTGGGGTGTCCACAAGTTATTTAGTTATGAATGGAAGCAAACTTCCTACTTGATTTGAAAGTGGCATTATAAGAATGGAAGTCGTCAATCTAGAATTACAAGAGGCAGGACAGTTTAAAGTCAGTAACATCCCGAATGATGACCTTATCAGTCTAAAATATATTAGGTACCACTGAGAGATAAAAAGAAAAAATCCTCCCTTTTTATTGTAAGTTATTAAGAAGTGCACAGGGGCCAGAAGGTGGCATAGTGGTTAAGGTGTTGAATTCCTACATGGCCAACCATGGTTTGAGTATGGGAACTGGCAGCCTTAAAATCACTCCAGGCACATGTGTGTGCATGCCTAAAATCCTGACAGAAGAATGGAGGAGAAAGGATTGTGGTGTGGCCATCCCCGTAAGGGGTAATTTCTCATTTTCCTTCTCTTTCTTTCTGTCTCTTTCCAACAAGCACACAAGCCATATGGCAAAAACCTAAAAATAAAAAAAAAAGTACATCCTATGAAATCTGTCTATATTTCCAGGGTACTCACAGATTAGCATGGGCTCCTACTTGATTGAAATGGGAAAAGCAATTTTGACAGACCCTGTACTCACCTTGCCTTTTAACTACTACCTGTGATACGTATTCAACTAACTCACTAATTCTCCAATCTAATTCTCAGTCCCTGGGGTTGACCAGATTCTAGACTTATGTAAAAGCTCCGTAAATTCGGAATAAAATATTCAGAGGTGGACAGAGCTTCTAGTTCCTGATGCAAATCCATGTAAGCACAACGAGGGAAAAATCCAGATTCTATTGTCTCAGACTAGGTTTACCAGAATCAGATTTGCTGGGCGCTCTGTATTTTTTTCTTATTTTATAACAGTACTACAATGAGTTTAGCAAAATTGATCCTACACTATTATTCTTGCTCTTTATTAGGAGAGAAATATCTGCACTAGTATACAAAGTGCAAGGAACCTTACAATAACCCAACAGTGCATTATGTCAGAATAAGGCCCAAGATTTAAAAAAAAAGAATTTTTATGTTGTGCAAAAACCTAAAAGACAGGTAAAATGGTCGTCTGAAAATTTTGTCACAAAAAGAACATTACTATATGAAAACCAGTGCCTATACTAGGTGCTGTTCAATTTACATTAAGGAATGAAAACTTAGCTTTGATAATAGGAGTGATCATTTTGGATTAGGAATACTTTACAATTTGAGAGGAAAAATACCTATTTTTCATCCTTAAAAACTGGCCTTTCAAATTTCCCTTAAGAACTCAGTGGCAAAGATAAAACATCTGCCAAGACACAGATAACAGCATGAGCTAGTGTCCTGATGGTAGGCATTTAGTGTAATGCTTTAACTCTGTGCCTCTAGACTACTGGGGTGGCCTCATAAATAAGTACTTTCGAATAGGCATTTACTTTCTTAGAATGGCATTTTGTGTTTAAAATAGTATTTTTTAGGAGAAAACAAGACATTATCATTTAAACAAGCCAAATATTACTAGTCTTAGACAATTAGGATTTTTAAAATTTAATCATGTATACCCCCAATTTTAAAAACTCATACTGAACAAAGAAAAAAATCATTCAGCCACTAAAAAGACAGTTCATATCACTGTCATTACTCAAGGTTTTATTTACTAGTTAATGAATACCACTGAAATTGGTGATGCGCTTTTAAGCAAAGTGTAATTGGACATATGGGAGTGGGGGTGGGGCAACAAGGGGCATTCATTCTGCATCTTGTAAACCATCACAGTGCTTTGCAGTTTGCCCATAATTCCATGAAAGGGGTATTTGAGATTACTCCCTTCACCGGAAAATTCACTGAAACTGTGCAGGTTACCAGGAAATAGCCCTGATTACCAGTACTTTATAAATGAAACTGAAAGCAAAACCATACTTCCATACCATTCAACGTACAAATCTATGACTTTCTTTCTTATTCTAGATTCTAAATTCAGTCTCCCAAATCTCTTGGTTTATAACTACTGCGTTCTGAGTGTTCACATGTCTTCATACACGTCCTTTTGAAACTACATATTAAACACACACACACAAAATCCATATTATTTTATCACACTCACTCACTTCCTGCTATATAGTCCACAATTAACAGAACCCCAAAGCATAATACCAGCATTCCCCCCCCCCCAGTATAATTAAATACTCTAAATCCTGAATCCAATGACTCTGTAGGGACTTGAAGACATTAACACAGAATGCAAATGAATGCTAATTATACATGATCTTAACTACTACCAGAGATGGCCTAGGAGAATTCCTAGCCTCCAAAGTATCATTCCAACAATTCTATCTACTTGAAAATAGGACCTCAGTTTTAAAAAACAGCACATGGTTTACACTTTCACAATTCAGACTAGCTTTGATGGAAATAGTCTGAATTCATGATATAACAAATTTATACCTGGTTCAATATGAAAGCTTTCTGATTATACAACAGGTATCTGAAAGCAGTATTATTTTAGCTGTAATGAAAGTAATAACCACAAGCACCCCAAAGATGCTGGCAAGAAACACTACCTAACATCAACCATTTAGATAACACAAATCTTTATTATTAATAGTTCGAACATCCCAAGATGCTTCGGGAGAAGATCGGTAAGCAGGAACTTAAAGCACCTTGCAAATAGCTCAAAGTCATCAGACTCTAGGAACAGCACAATGAAGCTAATAATCAGTTCGAAATTGAACTAACTAGCATTCCAGTATAAATATAATAACTACTGTTACTGATATTCAAAATCAGTCTTACAAAAAGTTTACAAAGACTATAGATGTGAGGAGTCACAGGCAGTTAGAGACATGCAAAGTCCTCTTCCTTCTTCAGTTTTTACAGATGAAGAGCACATGTTTTTGAAAAGCCAAATGGATTCCAAAAGCTTGAGGGAGGGAGCAAAATTTCCTTGGCGTCGAAAGACGCCCAATTCCACTCTGTTGCACATGTACCTCCACTCGAGGATACGGTCTTCATATTTTAGAAGATAACTGGATTACTTTTTAAAACAGGTAAGTTCAACGTACAATTTGGAATGCATTGAAGTGGCTATGGGGGGGTGGGGGAGGCACGAGGAGGAGTTTCCAGGAAGCTTATTTCTAGGATTAAAAACAAGAATAACAACAACAAAAAAGAGGCGGTCGGAAGACTCTTCTAATTGAATGCTGGGTTGGAAATGAAACTTAATCATGTGCCTCGCATCCCCTTCGCTCCTCTGTTCTCCTGGGAGAGCAAACAGCAGAAACGCTTCTTTTCGACTTTGCCAAAATGCGTACTTCCATCACAAGAGGCCCGGGCCCTCCCCCTCTCCCTCTGGCAATCCCAAATGCGTCTAAGCATCGAGAAGGGAGAAGGGTGCGAAGGCAGGGGGTCCCCGACAGCTGCTACCCCCTCGCCTCCGCTCGCGCCCTCCTTTCTCGCGGTTCATTTTTGCGCGAAGTGCGCGTTTTGGAGTCTTCCTTTTGCATTTGGAGAACCGGGTGCAGACGAGACCCGCTTTCATCCAGCGGGAAGAGAAGACGAAGGGAAGGAAGGAGGGGGCGCCCGATCACCCCGATTACGTCCGCACTCGGGGCGCTCAGGGCCCGCGCACCCCGCGCCCCAACCACCCTCCCCAGGGCGCCGCCGGCGGGGCTGGGGCTCAGCCCACAAGCCCGCGGGAACGCCGA